TCCGCGTGCGCCAGGTGTGCCGCATACTCAAGCCGCGCCAGGTGCGCCACGTTCGGGGCACGTGCAAAGTGTGTCGTGACAGCACACATCGAGAGACATGTTGGCCCCCACCATCCATGTCGAAGACCAGTGCCCATCATTGTGTCTGGTGGGCCTGCGCACAGCAGGCCATACGCCGCCACTTGGCAGTGATCGCGGGCTGGTCGCGCATGATTCGGAGTTAGCCGTGAGGTGCATTGTGTCTTGTATTTGTCAGAGTTGATAGCCCTGCGCGCACAAGGCAACATGCTGACATCCCCGCTGCCCCTGTCAAAAAAGACTACGAAGTGCTCGTGGGCCTCGCGGACATGACTCTGGGCTTTGCCCCCAAATGGACTTTGTGTTGTTTTTGGCACGGATGGTGTGGGGGGCCCTTCATGGGGTTATCATTGTTCTTGGTTGGTTGCCGGTGGCCTGGGGGAGGGGGGGGTATATTCATAAGGAACAGTGATCAAGACACCCTCCCCGCCCGCAAGCCGTTCCGCTCAATCCCACTCGCCCTCCCAACACATAGGTAGCATTCGAGCCGCAGCATGTTCAGCGGTGGTCCTTGGATGGGCAGCTAATGGAAACCAAAACAGACCCCATGTGCGCAACGCTGGAGCGATCTGCGCCGCGCGTGCCAGGCGCGCCACGCGCGCACCCCTGTGGCCCAAGCGTGTCAGGCACCCCTGGTGCGCCAGGTGCGCCAAGTGATCCACGTGCGCCATGTGTACCGCATGCTGTAGTTGCGCCAGGTGCGCCACGCTCGGGGCACGCGAAGAGTGTGCCAGGTGCGCCTGCGCACGTGGCAGTACACATCGGGAAACGTGTCGGCCCCCACCACCCTTGTCGAAAGCAAGTGCGCAATCGCGGCGGGGTGCCCATCATGGTGTTTGGTGGGCCTGCACCCAGCAGGCAATATGCCAGTACCCCCGCCGCCCCAGTCAAAAACCAATGCACAGTGATCGCTGGGTGCCCGCGCATTATCCAGATTTTGCCTCAAAGTGTATTTCATATTGTTTTTGTTGACAGGGATGCTGGCCCTGCGCACAGCAGACAGAATGCGAGCACCCCCGCCGTCCCTGTCAAGAAACACTACAAAGTGCTCGCGGCCCCCCGGTCATGACCCAAGATTTTGCTTCAAAGTGGACCTCACACTTTGTTTGACAGGGATGATGGGGGGGGTTCTCATTGGTCCTGGTGGGCTGCAGGTCGCCTTGCGGAGGAGGTGTTCATTCGTATGGAACAGTGATGCGACCCTTTCTTAAGGGGAAGAAAGGGGGTTGGAGGAAGAACCCCGCTAAACCACTCACGCCCTAAAGGGCTGGTGGGGTTCTTTTGATACTCGGAAGTTTTCGGAGATAGCCAATGCTTTTGGGCCTGCAGGAGGTCCCAGTTGTTGGAGCTGCTGTCCGCCGTCCTCGAGCGCGGCGCGAGCGCCGACGCCACCGCGCCGGGCTTCTTCGGGGGGCGGCCGGCGCTGTGGGTGGCAGTGCGGAAGGTCGGCCACGCGCAGAGGGGGGTCGGGGGAGGGTCGGGCTGGACGAAAGGGGGGGATTGGGAAAGGGGAGGGTTACGAAATTTGCCACATGCAGCTGGTTTCGGCCTCACCGATGGGCCCATTCCTCGATACATAGCCGCCTCCGGCGCCAGGAGGCGCCGGGAAAGTCAGCTACGTGAGCTGATTCTCAAACCCCCCCTTTGCTATCCCCCCATTTCGCCCGGCCCGAGGGGGGGGAAGGCTTCTCAGAAGCAGTCCTCGTCCTCAGGAGGCGCGGGGGCCTCAGCTGCAGGCGTGAGGCCGGCGCCTCCCAAGGAGCAGGCTCGTGCCAAGAGGCCGTCCCCCCTCCCCGTACAGCCGGGGCCCTGCAGAAGGAACCCTTTTCGTTGGGGAGGGGCTCGGTGTTCCTTGATTGTTCTACAGTTTGCCTTGTTTTCCTGAGGTTTCCCATGGGAAATCGAAATTCAGCTTCTGGAGAAAAGGGGCCTCGTTCCTTATTTTAGGGTTCCTTAGGTCAGCGCCCCGACTGTACCCCCTCTGTGGGCGCCGCCGAGAAGGGGGACGTGGCGCTCTGCCGATGCCTGGTCCAGGCGCGCGCGCGCGTCTCTCGGGATGCGAAGGTTGGCAGGCCTCCTGCCCTGACACGTCGATGAAGGAATTGGCCGTGTTCGGTTCGCGAGGGGGCGTCGCGGCCGTCATGTTTGCGGGCTCATGTCCGTCGGTTTCGGTCCCAGGCCGTTGTCACGAAAGGGAGGTTTACTAAAGGGAGGTTTGTCCACCGCCGAAGGATGCAGATCCTGGAGGGTTCAGCTCAGAGTCGGTGCTGGCATGTCCCTGTCCGAGGACGTGCCCAGTCTGGTTGGATTCCGCTCAGTCCAGCTTGTTCCCGCTTTGTACGGTTTCACCCTGTCTTCTCCGCCTCAAGCCGCGGCTTCAACCAGCATGGTCTGGTTCCATGGCCACTTCATCGGGCTTGATACCCGTGCCCTGAGCGTTCAGACGAAGACTTCCGAGGAGTTGACTCCTAACGCTTCCTTGCTCTCTTCTTTTCTGGTCGGACGAGACCTAGAGCATGGGATTCCGGATTTTTCTGTCGCGATCGGTAACGACCGATCGGCGCTCAAAATCGGTCGCGACCGACCGCGAGCGATTCTAAAGCAAACCTGTCGCGACCGATACCGGAATTTGAAGCAAGGTCGGCAGCGACTGATCTCGTCGATCGCGAGTGGAAAATCCCAGCATCCAACGATCAGGGGAGCCCCTGGCCGCGTCGGTTCCAGGTCTTCGGACATTTTTTCGCCGGACCTCCGCAGCTTTTTCCAGCCTCTCGATGCTCTCCCGCAGCCCCGCCTCGCCGAGGGATCTGGGCGTGCCCGAGCCGTCCCGCTCGGCCGCCCGAGAAACCAGGGGCGAAGGGCCGAAAGCCCCCGCCCCCCCCGCGCGTCGTGCAGCGAGCGGTGGGTGGCCTCTTTACGGCCTCGGGGGGGGGCCCTCGCCGCAGCTTCTGCCAGCCTCTCGATGCTCTCCCGCAGCCCCGCCTCGCCGAGGGATCTCTGGGGCCGCCCGAGACCCGAGCGAAGAGCCGAAAGTCAGGAGGGGAAAAAACACACAGACACAATGAATCGTCGACTCCCAGGAAAAGATGGAAAAATATTGAATTGGGGAGGAAGGCAAAAACCCAGAAAATATGCGAAAATATGGGGAATCCTGTTATTTGTGTGTATTTATTTGTGTGTCCCAGGGCCCCTTCAGAAAGCCTCCGGCCCCCCGCGCGTCGTGCAGCGAGCGGCGGGTGGCCTTGTTGCGGCCTCCGGGGCGGGGGCCCTCTCGCCAGGCCCCAGGGCCGTCGAGGAGCGGCCCAGGAGGAGGAGGAGGAGGAGGAGGAGGAGGAGGAGGAGGAGGAGGAGGAGGAGGAGGAGGAGGAGGAGGAAGAGGAGTCGCCCAACCAGCGCGCCCTGCCTGCAACCGGCGCGCCTTGCCTGGCACGCCCTGGCACAGCATGGCGCCGGGAGTCTTCGGGTGAGGAGGGGGCGGGGGCAGATCGGAGGTTGATGGACCTCCTGCCCTGACACGTCGATGAGCGAATTGGCCGTGTTCGGTTCGCGAGAGGGTCGCGCGGCCGTCTTTTTTGCAGGTCCAGGTCCGTCGGTTTCAGTCCGAGGCCGCTTTCACGAAAGGATGGTTCACGAAAGGAAGGTTTGTGCACCGAACAGAGTACGAAACCTGCTGCGTGCAGCTGGTTCCGGCCCCACCGCCAGGCGCGTTCCTCGATACGTTCGCGCCAGGAGGCGCCGGGGAGGCCACTGGCGTGCCACGCTGGCGGCCCGCATAAGCCGCGGCGTAAAGTCGCAATGTTCTCTCGCGTGAGATCCGTTTCGGTTCGTGGGGGATTTTCTCGCCTCGGGATGCGGGGAAGCTGCGCCCGAGGTTTTCGGACATCCGCACTGGTTCCTGTACGATGTTCAGCCTTGGGAGGCCTTCCAGCAGCTGCGCCACGCGGAGAGCGTTCCGGGGGCTCTCAGATCGAACGTCCGCCAGAAGCCCGGGTGATGGCCCGAAAGCCCCCCAGAGGCTCGAGATATGAAACTTGAGGGTTCCATAGCGTCTGATGCATTCAACGTCGGTCGTAAGGCCGAGAGAAAAGGACGCAAGGCGCGTTAGAAACGGCAAAGGGAGCCAGGCTCCAGGGAGCTTGCTGGGGAGCTCCCTGGGAGTTTAGTTGGGCCTCTGTCTCGGGGGGTGGTTGCGTTGTGGGGCCGCTTGAAGCTTCTTTGGGGGATCGCTTAGGGTGTCCCGTGGGGTTGACTGGGGCTTATTGCAGCCTTCTTTCTGTTGTTGGCCTCGCGGCCTCTCGGGTGGCTTTCAATGAACGTCTGGGAGGCCTTTGGGGCTCCTCTTGGAGCCATCTTGGCAGATGGTCTTGCCCTTTTCGGCCCTTGGGCCGCGAAATACTGTTGGAGGGCTATCCAGAAGATGTCTTGGGGCCCTTTGGGTCGTATCGTGGTCATCCGGGGGCATCTCTACCGCTCCTGGGATTGTTGAGGACGCTGGGATGGAGGCGGCAGGGGCGATGGACGCGGGGGACACGCCCAGCAGTGGGGGGGGGCCGAGGCTGCGGGGTGGACACGGAACAGCCAGGCGGCAAAGGCGTTGTGTCATTCCATTGCGCGCCCGGGGGACACGGTGACGGACTCCTGGGCGGCCTGCCAGAGGCCTTCAGGGCACTCGCGATGTTTGGGGCCTGACGGGCCAACCAGTTCAGATCCCCTGGCCGCCTCCAACTGGTGTGTGCCCAAGGGGTCCACGAATCCCCCCCACTTGGATTTCGTTTTGGCCACGTTCTCTTCATCGGAAGGCCGGGACCTTGAGGATTCGCACTGGTGGGATCACTTTTGCTTCTCAAGAAGCAGGAGGGCCAAGAGCAGAACTACCCTAAACACAGACCAAGCGCGACACGCCGCGGTGGCGGATCCTTGACATGAGAGCCGCAGGTGCTGCCTCTGCTGGCGCGTTGATTTTTTGCTTGCTCTATTCGGCCGTGGAGTCGTGCCAGACCGACGCAGACTGTGGCACCGGCTACGCCTGCCAGTGCCCAGACGAACCTGGACCAGACAACAGTGGTGCAAGCCCTGCAGTGCGGCAGTGCGTGACCCCCACCGCTGCCCTGAGGTCGGCGATGATGAGTATCCTGTGGGCCGCGCTGCCGCAAGTGCGGGGCACTGGAGACAACTGCACGTGCGTGCTGACGGATGCGGTGGCGGCTTGGACAGGATGCGACAGCGCTCCCGACGACGGCTCCGTGCCAGGCAGCTATCGGTGGGTCAACGAGCTGGCCGAGGGGTGCCCGACGGCTGTGTGCGGCCTCGTGGCAGGGTCCCGGACCATTGAGCCGCAGTGCTACTCCTTCAATTTCGACACGGAGTGCGCGATGCCGGTTGCGAGCGAGCTCTGCCCCACGCCAGTGCCAGCCTCGACGCTGAGCTGCCCCGCTTCGGGGACCGCCGCGTGCCTGACCGAGTATGGCTACTGCAGCCCGCACGGCAACAACGCGCGGCCGAATCCCGACTCGGCAACGGGCATCGGTGACGGCAGCGCGATGTCGGGCGTGAGCGACTTCGTGGGCTGTCGAGCCGCGTGCGATGCCGAGCCGTCGTGCGTCGCCATCGACCTCGTCTTCGGCACGCAGTGCTACCTCAAGTCTGCCGCTCCGGCCGGGGCGTCCGAGGGCGGTGGCGGATTCGAGTTCTACTGGCGCACCGACGGCCCAAGCGTGCCGCCAGACTGTGTGCTGGACACCTCCACACTGCAGAGTCGAACGCTGGAATGCGTCGGCTCAATCAGAGGATGCGCTGAGTACGACGCGGTGGACCTGGCCAGTGGGTTGTGCAGCTGCGCCACGTGCGACGCCCTGCTAAATTGCGACCAGCAGGCGTCGGCCGACTCGTGCATATGCGAGGCGTGCGAGGCTGGCTATGTGCTCGATGGCAAGGGCGCATGCTACACACCGTCGGCCCGCCCACTCACGGAGGTGTCAACCGTGCACGTCATCGGCCAGCCAGTCGCCATGAGCAAGGGGTACCACCTGACTACGCAGCGCAATGGCTGGAAGCCTCGGCGTATGCAGTCGGCCAGCTGCAACGACGGTCAGAAGGAGCGGATGATCGTCGCGTGGGACTCAACGGAGCCTCAGGGCTACCTGGCCGAATTCGAGATCCACTCCGACGGCACCTCCACGCTGCTCTCCAACCGCGCACAGCCGACCTGCGAGGAGATGGGGGGCGTCACGGCCGCCCCCGACTGTAGCGTGATCGCGGCCCTCTGCCACTCCAGCCACGGCAGGGGCCAGGAGATTGCCGACCGGACGTACGAGGGCATCATCGATTTCCAGGCCAATTCGGGTCAGTACGGATGGGGTTGGACGAATGATGATCCGCCGATGCCGCTGGACCGGCAAGAGGAGATCTTCTTGATGGAGTACACGCAAGGGACGACCGACGTGGCCGCCGCCGACGCGACAGTGTGCGTCAACAAGGCGATTGGCGGTGCCGAGATCGGGCACTGGGCCATCTCGTTGGACGCGGCAGCGGAGGTGTACTTGCTGGACATGAAGGCGACTACCGGCTACCACGAAGGCTCGATCGGCGTGGGTGTGCAGCGCGATGGCTGGCTAAACCGCGATGACCTGTTCCAGGGGTGGGCCTGCGGCACCGGCCACACCATCGGGAACAAGCTGACCTACAATGCGGAGCTGGGCACGTGGGCGCGCCTCTGCTGGACGGACAACAACGTCCGGAATGCCGCCGAGCCCGACGGGCCGTATGCGGGCACTTATCTGTTTGCGTGGTTCTTCCAGACTCTCGGTAGTTCCGAGCCCACGTCGCCGATCCAGATCTCCGCTTTGCCGACCGCCATGTACAGCCAGGACAGCCCGGGAGGCCCGCACAGCATCATCGGCCTCGGCGCCGACGGGTGGATGGCGGTTGGTTTTGGGCCTGTCGGGCTGGACAAGGTGACGGCTCAGCAAGAGGTGGGCACGAGCGTATCAATCGACGAACTCCAGCTGGCCGTCTCGATCAGCGTGCTGCCGGCCAGCAGCACCGAGTGCGGAGGGAGCCCGGCGGACGACGACAAGTGCAATTGGAATTTTCTGACAAGCTTGCCCGGCCACAGCCTGTGGAATTATGATGGGGAGAACGGCGGTCTTGGATACGTCAACGTGCAGCAAATGAGCCGGGATGACGAGTTCCTTGTGGGTTACGCAACCAAGATCAATCATCAAAATACCGACGCATTGTCTCTCACCTACCGTTTGGCCAAAATCAGCAAGGACGGCACAGTCCATCAGGTCAAGGTTCTCGATAATGTCGCTTGGGGAGAGGATGACACATGGGCCCGTCTCTCCAACGGCTGCGTCGCTTTCCCATTTGTGGGCACTGCTACGCCAGGCGGCCCGTACAGCACAAGTGACGCCGGCGCCGACCAGATGAGGATCACTGTGATATGCGATTGAGGCAAACAACAGCGAGGTGGCATATGCTCACTGCTCGTGACAACGTTTCAACTAGATTACCAAGTCAGCATTCGAATTATCCTGTTACATGTTTTCCCAATCGAGCTTGCACTGAAGAGGTCCTCGCAAATATTCCTTAATCAGTGCTTGAACTGAAGGAGTCCTCGCGGATTCTGAAAGAATTGGCGAAATTCCCGGGTCGCTTTCGGTAGGCGGCTGGGTTCCCGAGTCCTCGGTTCCGGGTTCCTGGGTTCCCGGGTTCCCAGTTCGACGATCTCGGTGGGTTCCAGGGTTCTTGGTTCCTTGTTCCGATTTTCTTGGCACTGTGGGTTCGCGGTTCCAGGCTTCCTGGCAGTGTAATGTTGGTTCGGTTCCCGAGTTTTTGGTTCGGTGGTCTGCTGGGTGCCTGGGTCCCCGATTCCCGATTCCAGGATCCCGGGCAGTGTAAGGTTTGGTGGGTTTCTGGCTCTTTGGTTCCCGTTTTTGCATATTTGGCAGCTTGAGGTTTTGGAGGTCTGGAGATCTTGGTTGTGGCCAAGCGCTTGCAAGCAGAGCTGCCCAGAGAGGTTGGAGTGAGCGAGGGAGAGAGAGAGGGAGAGAGGAAAAACATGTACGACACTTGTTAGATATAAGAGTGTGGAAGGTGGATGTGGTACATGTAGAGTACACATCAAAGAGCATATGGCGATGTTGGGTGTAGAAGTGTGAGAGAGAGGTACAAGGAGAGAAATATGGATAGAGAGAGATAGAAGAGAGAGAGAGAGAGAGAGCGCAAACACTACATCCATATATAAATGGGTGTATATGTATATGTGTATGTATATGTATATGTATATGTATATGTAAATGTATATGTATATGTATACACGATTGAGAGTAGGCCTGTGACAATCGAGTGCATAGTAAGGTGTGGGGGGCACAACAAGGAAAAAGGGACTACATGCATATGGAACAAGGTCACGAGAGAGAAGGAGAGAGAGTGATAGAGAGAGCAGAACAAGGCAGGCGTGCAGGGCATGCGAAAACTCCAGGGCAGCCAGTGATTGGATTTTTCCTTGGTGTACTTGAAGGATTTGGCGACAGTCCCGGGCCGATCTCGGGAGGCGGCCGAGTTATCGGGTTCCTGTTTTCTGGTTCTGGGGGCTCCTGGCAGTGTACAGACGGCTGGGTTCCAGCTTCTTGGCACCTGGGTAGCGTAAAGTTGGCTCGGTTCCCGGGTTCCTGGTTTGGTGGGCGGCCGGAATTCCGGATCCCTGGTCTGGCCAGACCCAGGAGTCCCGAAACCCAGCTGCCCACCCAACCGGGAAGCCAGAAACCCACAACATGTTACTTTGTTGGGGACCCCGAGGTCCGGATCCACGGCAGAGTAAGGTTTTGGGGGGTTTTTGGCTTCCCAGTTCTCGCTGCTTCATTGCTGGCAGCGCCTGGGTTTTTGATCGTTAGAAGTACAAGGGGTCAGAAAGTTGCGAGCAGAGGTGACCAGAGGAGTTGGAGGAAGAGAGAGAGAGAGTAGTTTGGGCGACCTGTGCAATATGGTTTCTTCAGACATGGATGGGAAGGTCAGAACGAGAGGGAATATTGTACATATCGACAGAGGACATGTCAGAATAGGGCTAAACTGTCTGCATGTTCACATAAAAGGATAGCAATATATATGTGTATATATATATATATGGAGAGAGATAACAAAGAGAGAGAGAGAGAGAACTCCAGCATAGACCTACAGAGAGAGAGAGAGATTTGGGGAAAACCGATACATACATATACATGCATACTATAGCCATATATCCTTCAGGGTAGGTATATGACAATAGAGTGCAAAGCTATGTGAGAGGGCGTACCACGTAAACTTGCAATACGTGCGCAGAAAGATATACAACCGAGAGGGTGTGAGAGAGAGGGAAGGAACGGGTAGGCGTGGAGTGCGTGCGAATCTCTCCGGACATTTGCAAAGTGGATTTTCTTCGGTGTACTATCATTTAGGCGTTGGGCGCATTCCGCCGACGCATATGGAATTGTCCTTACCACGTGCCTGCATGCTCGTGGGCTTTGGGAAGTTGCTGGGTGATGGTCGTGTCCCTACTGTTTTGTGTAAGCTCGCGTGAGGGAGAAGCAGCCGCTCGGTAGACTGCGTGCAGGGGTCAACGGAACACGCCTCCGCTCGAGGCCCGAAAGCAAGAGTAGGCGATTCGAATGCCCATCGTGAGCAGTCGGAGCATCCTGGGAGACTCTTGGGGATCGTTGGAAGGCTTTTTGAGGCCTCCTTGGGGCCGTCTCGCATCATGTCGGGTTTCGTGGAGATTTCTTGTGGGCTGTATTGGACCGCCTGGGCCACCTTGCGGTCATCTTCCCATCGCGCGGAGTCAATCCCCGTGCATGTTTCGGTTTCGTGCGTTTTGTCTTCACAATATCCCAGATGCTCCTCGATGGTCCCCGCCGGGGAAGCAATACACACGTCCGACCGATGCCAAGCTTGAGGCTTCGTGGGGCTATCTTGGGGCCATATTGGGGTGTCTGCCTCCCGGTGTCAGGCCACTCTTGCGGCCCTCTTGGGGCTACCGGGGGCTCCGAGAAGCCCATTGGGAGCCCGAAGCGGCAGGAACATCAACCATAGAGAAAAGCAGATTCGCTCACGATCTTAACAGTATTGAGGATCAGAGTAGCGAGACGCCCTCGCGTCGTTTCGATAGCGCGACGGAAGGCTTTCTGATATTTTCGGCCTGCGGGGGCCCTCGTCGGAAAGTGGGTCGCACTTTGAAAGGAGGTCAGAGGCGAGATACGAGCGACGCGTTTGCGTCCCGACGCTGAGCTCAAACGACGTCGCCCTATTTGACAGCCCCATATGTGAAGCACCATCGCGTCCGAGCAACGGAAAACGAGACGTCTACATCCTTCGACGATGCCCCTTACACTGCCATATTGTTATTTTTCCTACCCGCTCATACCCTACCTACAGTATTGATAAGTCATGGGTTACCAGAGTATTCAAGGCGTGATGCATTGTACGCACTACCATACCACTTCCGACTTGGTAGCGGAGCTGGCCTCACTTTCACGCGGTTGGCCCTCATCTTGATAGTGGTATTCCGCGGCACAGACTGGTGGATTATTTCTAGAGTGGTACATCCTACTGCCCCGGCTTCCTCTTCGGGGATCGAAGCCAGGAAACTGGCTGACAGATGGCGTCACATATACCGACGGCCGCGTAGGTTTACGCGTGGATCCACGGCTAGCAGCCACTACGCTCCTACCCACCACCAACCAGGTTTAACCGTTTAACCCACGCCATTTCCCCACAGCGCGGACAGGCGCAAAAGACCAGCGCGCACCCAGAATTGATTCGGAGGCCGACGGCCACGACAGCTCACAACCAAAACGGGTTGGCGGACACATCAGTCTACAAACACGCCGGCCACGACACCATGAACACCGACATGAACGCGCATGACATCAAAACCACCATCTTTAGCATTGCATGGGCATGTCTTGGCCGAGTGGTCGGATGCATGCAGCGGGGAGGAATGGACGAAACACGTGCCAGGGGGCCCTTTTGGGACCCTGCCCGCAATGGTCCCTTCCGCGGGTTCGCCCTCGAAGTCCACGCGGGGTTGAACGTAACTAGTGGACCCATGACTCAACAACCACAAGCCGCCCTGCAACGGGCCTTCGGCGGAGTAACCAGGACTTCGGCGACGCGAGCACCATGTGCAATCATCGAATATGGAGTAGCTTTACAAGCCCAACGTACCGACGGAGTTCTGAATGATACGTTTCTCTTCAACACCAAATTCGACAACTTCGAGGGCGAACGACGCCTCACCTCGGGCACAGCCCTCGTCGAATTTAGGGTCGACCAGGGGCAACGGCACGACCCAGCACTGGTTCGATTCGAAATTACAAGGCCCGAAGCTGATCCAGCAGGATTCACCATCCTGGATTTCCAGATCCACACGCTCCTAGTGTCCTGAGTCTTGGGAACCGGCACCTCACGGGCATTCCAGGTACTACAGCCCCGCAGCCACCAGATGCCCCGACCACATTACACCGCGATCAACTATTGGAACGGGTGAGCAGCCATGGGCACATCGCTGAGCACCCACTTGGCAACCGGCGTCTCCAATGGTGGGCCAGCAGGTACTTTCCATGCCGACGTTAGCGGCACACCTCCCGCCACTTCGGGCAACGCTTGGAGCGATCACGAGCCGAGCGAATCTACGATACAAATGGCTGGCCGGTATACATGCACATGGTGGCCCCTTACCACAATTTATGAGAACGCAGGCAACTGGCAACGCACAATCGGCCGACCCAACCACGAAGTGGTCGGTTATTGCCGCAGCCAGCGGCGGACCACTGGCTACAACCTCCCTGCGCGGCTCAGCAGGCTAACGGAACGACTCACCCTTTGATTTAGGAACGGACGCAGACACCTGCTCGTCTGAGGGCATTGATAAAAGATCTAGGCCCGACGCACTGGCCAACGTCGCGCAAGCTGCGCAGCGCGTGCACATAATTAGCCGTCGCGCCAAACGCCGCCCGACGTGACAGATGATTTTGATCGGCGGAAACGGCAGAGGCCCCAGCCGTAGAATAGCCAGAAGACGCAATGTAATAGCTGCGGCATTGACAGACGTCTCCAGGCGCGGCGCACGAGGGAAACGAGAAGGGCGATGGATCCGCATATCTTGGCTCAGCAAAGCGAGTTGACGACGAGTTGGAACGCGTTGATTCTCCAACTTCGGACCATTATTCCCACGCCACTCGCGCAACTTAGTCTTTGATGGTGCAGTATGCCGGCGCAGCCCTCGCCGTTGAACGGCGCGCCCATGTTTCTGCACTGCAGTAAATTCGGAAAGGAGAAAGATGAGGCGGGGGAGGGGGGGGGGACTGCGTCCGCATAGTGGGCGAGAGGGAGAGGATGCATGGGTGGAACGGAGAAAAGAGGAGGTCAGCGAATGCTTCGTTAGTTGAGGCGGTTCGGGGGGCGCAGGCGCGCGCCG